AGGCTTTTAACTCAATATATACTACAATATTTGTAGGTTCCGATGTAAAAAATTTATATTTTCATATTTTCGCACTTTTCAAAATTTAAGAAGGAAGTACTGCCATCATAAATTTTAGCCGGCCAACGCAATCGAATAAAACTAAATCGCTGAATCTGTCCCGAAATAAACCCTCTGGCAACCCTGCAGTGAATGCTCGATCGACGAACTCTGCTCCTGAACAAGGAAAGAACGGCGAACGCAGACCAAATAAGATGAATTGAAGATCTAAGATCCTATAAGATTACTTCAAGCAACGTCACAGTTGTTATACATCAACACTACGCTGATTCACATTAAGCCATATTAAAAGCCTGCTCGTCGAATTTTGTAATCCATTTGTACTAAATATTAATTGAACAAAAAATTAATTATGAGTCTTGTTAAACTAGAAAATGGGAAAATGATTTCGAATATTATTCATTGTTTAATAAATAATTTTAAAATCACGTATTATATAATTTCGTATTCAAAAGGAACAGAAATACTTTGAACTTGTATTCTACATTATACTCATAGGCTTGATCTACATCATTTTAATTATAGACGTATTGGGTGCTTCTGGCCATATATATATGTGCACTTATACCCAGATCAAAAGGCTCAGGCTGCTGACGCTATACTTACAACGGCACTAGAAACGATAAAGTGAGAATGTTATGAGACTTCCTTCAATAAATGTCGCCTTCTCATTACAAAGAAGCCCATTGCCGAACTTCTGAAAGAAACGAAAACAAACAAATCACAACTGAAACCTTAGAGGTTAAAGTCAATCTCCAGCGTTTACTGGAGTGATCGTATTGTCGAAGGATATTTCAATTACATTTCATAAAGAATTATGAGAGTGTCATATATCGTTGAAGCCAAAAGTTATTTCCATGTAATTGTAATTAATCGATGTTGATCCTTGTAGAAACCACGATATGTTTAAAATTTGTATACAACTAATTTCTTATTAGATTGGACCGAGAACCAAACGTCCTATCATATTGAAATAGTCTCGCCTTGAACTGAAACTTAAAAATTCGAATTTATTTAATAATTTCGTTGGATTTTTAGGTTCAGATTTATCACATTTCCGTCAAACTGATTGATATACATGACTTCGCAATTCCACTTAACAACAAAGTTACTATTCTTCTTATCGCGCAGCATTTAATGTACAATTTTGGAACTGTTTATTATTGAGTTGAGGTTAAAAATGTTTATTATTGAGGTTATGTTATTAGATGAAATTAAGAAATCGCAGTCATATTTGTGGACGGAAAATGTTCAATATTCTGATCCCAATTTCCTCGAGAGATATGGAGAAAGGAAAGATTTGAATGCGGCATTGTAAACTTTATAAAGCAATACAAACGCGTAATGCCGGAGACAACTGCCACAGTTGTATTGAAATTCATGCACCAATATACTGTGAATGAGCGATCGTCTAAGATAAGAAATGATAGGTATTGCAGGTAACAGACACGAGTGTCATAGCTTGATTTTGATGTACATCTTACAAATTTTGGTATCTCTATTTTATATTGTTTTGTCGAATTTATTTAGAATGTGTGTCCAATACGTACAGATGTTGATCGGCGACATCACTATTCAATCCACAATAAACTTTAACTCATAGCGCATCCACACCTTTCCCTACAATATTTATTTGATAATTAAAATTTGAGAGAAGCGGTCAGAAACCACACCATTGAATGCGGTAAAAATATTTACCTTTTTAGATCCTGAGCTTAACTGAGAGTTAGACCGTGCCCTTAGTGATTTGAAAATCCTGTCGTTAGGCAGCTTTTTTAAACCATGACTTTAGTGTCTTGAAGATCTTCTCATTAGTTATGCAGTGAATTAACCCGTGACCTTTAAAATACTTGCAAATGTGAAGCAATGAGCTAAATCGAAACCGTTAGTGTCTTGAAGATTTTAGTGTTAGGTTACTAGTCAATTGACCTGCGACTATTAAAACGTCATCGTTAACGACAACCTTCGTATTAGTTGAACATAAATTAACCCTTTGGCCAAAGTGTCAAGGGTATGTCAATAGTCAATACATGACAGCACCACGATCAGCGGCTCTCAGCAAGCGAATTGCGCGCCGCCATAACTGTGGTTTAT